CCTAAGAGCCTTCATCAGGAACTCAATGGGGATGTGGCGTACAACACTAGAGGCCAACTCCAAGCCCATAGCACAAGTCACCATCAAGTGCGGGATCTACCAAGGAGATGCTCTGTCCCCACTGCTGTTCTGCATAGGCCTGAACCCCCTCAGTGAGATCATTAACAAGACTGGCTACGGATACCGACTACAGAACGGAGCAGTTGTCAGCCACCTCCTGTACATGGATGACATCAAGCTGTATGCCAAGAGTGAACGAGACATCGATTCACTGATCCACACTACCAGGCTATACAGCAATGACATTGGAATGTCGTTCGGACTGGAGAAGTGTAGTTGGATGGTAACAAAGAGAGGGAAGGTAGTCAGAACTGAGGGGATTGAACTACCAGAAGGCAACATTGCAGACATAGAGGACAGTTACAAGTACTTGGGGATCCCACAGGCGAATGGGAACCATGAAGAGGCCGCTAGAAAGGCTGCAACCACCAAGTACCTGCAGAGGGTCAGGCAAGTCCTGAGGAGTCAGCTGAATGGTAAGAACAAGATCCGGGCCATCAACACGTACGCCCTGCCCGTGATCAGGTACCCTGCTGGGGTAATAGGCTGGCCAAAGGAGGAGATAGAAGCCACTGACATAAAGACAAGAAAGCTCCTTACCATGCATGGAGGGTTTCACCCTAAGTCCAGCACCCTGAGGCTGTACGCTAAGCGGAAGGAAGGGGGCCGGGGACTGGTGAGTGTCAGCACCACAGTCCAGGATGAGACAACGAACATCCAAGAATACATTAGGAAGATGGCCCCAACTGACCGAGTGCTCAGTGAATACCTCAGGCAGCAGAAACCCAAGAAAGAGGAGGGAGACGAGGAACCATCATGGAAGGACAGGCCCCTGCACGGTATGTACCACCGGCAGATAGAGGAGGTGGCTGATATCCAGAAATCCTACCAGTGGCTGGACAAAGCTGGACTGAAAGACAGCACAGAGGCACTAATCATGGCAGCACAAGAACAAGCTCTGAGCACAAGATCCATAGAGGCTGGGGTCTATCACACCAGGCAAGACCCCAGGTGCAGGCTGTGTAAAGATGCCCCAGAGACAATCCAGCACATAACAGCAGGGTGCAAGATGCTAGCAGGCAAGGCATACATGGAACGCCATAACCAAGTGGCCGGCATAGTGTACAGGAACATCTGTGCCGAGTATAACCTGGAAGTCCCGAGGTCAAAATGGGAGATGCCCCCAAGGGTGGTGGAGAATGACCGAGCTAAGATCCTGTGGGACTTCCAGATACAGACGGACAAAATGGTGGTGGCTAACCAACCGGACATAGTGGTGGTAGACAAACAGAAGAAGATGGCCGTAGTGATCGATGTAGCGGTTCCGAATGACAGCAATATCAGGAAGAAGGAACACGAGAAGCTCAGAGGGCTCAGAGAAGAGCTCGAGAGGATGTGGAGGGTGAAGGTAACGGTGGTCCCCGTGGTAATCGGAGCACTAGGTGCGGTAACTCCCAAGCTAGGCGAGTGGCTCCAGCAGATCCCGGGAACAACATCGGAGATCTCTGTCCAGAAGAGCGCAGTCCTGGGAACAGCTAAGATACTGCGCAGGACCCTCAAGCTCCCAGGCCTCTGGTAGAGGACCCGAGCTTGAAGGATAAACCGCCCGCAGGGGCGTGCTGGGTGTTTTTTTTTTTATATATATATACATATATATATACATTTAAAGAATTAATTTAAACTAATTATTAAATTTTTTGTTTTGTAGAAATCTAAAAGTAAAACTATATGAAAACAATGACTTTATTCAGAGCCTGGAAAGTACCTGATCCAACAGGCTGCAACACCACCCATTAAGCGACTGTCCGGAGTGACGGCATGGCCGCAGGACATCTCTGCTCTGAGACCCTGGTCTCCTTCCACTGGAGCTGAGAGGAACAACAATAAGCGCAGACAGTGAACTCAACAGTGTGGAAAAGCCTGCCCGGTATTAAAGAGAACCTACTTTGCGCAAAGACTTCGACCCCAGAAATTTAGCACAAAAGTAAAATTTGTGTATGAAATACTACTCCATTTGGTTTAATTGGGATAACCAGTGCATTTGTTATAATAATTCCAAATCAAATTATGCACAGTTATTAAAAAGAGCAGAATTAAGGGGCTTCAGTGATGATTAGGCTACTAAATAGTTTTCTTATATATGTAGCGGATCCAGATCATCGGGCCTGTTGACGAATTTCTGGGTCGTGTCTCTGGGGTCGTATTGTTTCTCGTCGGTCATTTTAGCTCAGAAACTCTCCGTCCTCCGTGGATAAACAATCTGTGTCTGCAGTAAGTGAAGGGAAAACCGAGCGTTGACAGCACCATAATTTTAAACTTTGACTTCCTCCTGCAGTTACCAGAAGTCACGTGAAACAGCGCTCTGTAACAGGTCTGTGTTCTTGTATCTTTATTTCACTTTATTTACTCTTTTGCGCTGATGATGAGGACAGCAGTTAATTAAAGCTTTTTTTTAATGTTTTAAAGAATTATTTAATGCTAATAAATAATAGTGATAAAAATAAACAAATACGTTATTGCACAGTGGCGTTTATAGAGAGTTTTTTGCAGCACTGACTTTTAATAAAATGCGTAGGAGAAGCGAACAGCTGGTAAACAAACACGCCCACTCATCGTGAACTGGTATATCAGGTGATTTCCAGCTATGATTGAGTGTCCAATAAGGGAATGCATTTACACACTGAACAATTGAGTATGTAAATGGTGAGTGATGCACAGCACAGGCACTATAATGTAGACAATGGTAAGCTGCTTCTCATAAACACCGTTTTAAGATTGTTAACATGTATTTGTTTTTCATTGGTTTGTTTTTACAAAAAAAAACCCTGAATTTGCATTTTGTAGAGGAAATCTAATATATCAAACCCATTTTTATAGTGCTGTGTAAAACTGAAAAAGAAAAAGAAGAGGCACGAGTGGTAAAAACAATCATTTAGATGAAAGTGAAAGTATACTCGGCCCTGTAACGTCAGACCCAGAAGTACCTTGTTAGCGTCCGCAGCAGAAGCGGAGGGAGCGCACAGAATGGGGAAGCTGTACCAGGTCGTCGTTTCTGGAGTAAGGGGTGGGAAGGTGACCGTCGACCTGAGCAACACCGAGGAGCAGTTCAAGAACATGACAGTGGAGCAGCTGAGGGAAAAAATAAGACAGAAGTTTCCAGAAACTGCAGGTAAATACAAAGAGAAGTGAAACACTCATAATTTACGTTGTATTAGCCTACATTATTGTCCACACGATAACGAGCTCAGGGTAATTTTCTTGGTTTCATGTTGTTCAGGTTGTTCCAAAATGTCCTTTGAAAATATATTTAATTTGTTGTGGCGGATCAAGACTTAGATTTCTTGCTCGCGGAAGAGTATAATATATTTAAAGTAAGCACTGGGGCTAACGGATGATCCAAAGAAAAGGAACCTACATTATGAAGCTTTGTTTATTTATTTTGAATTTTGCTATAGATTCATTTAATTATTTAGTTTAGTAAAGTGAACCGTTAACGCAGAAAAAGTAGAAACTGTCACGGTCTGGGGGGCAGACCGTGGGGGATGTTGGAGAAAGGACCCAAACGCTGGACTAGTGGAATGAACAGTGGGTTTATTTACAGTGAGGTAAATGTACACCACACATAAATCTCCAAAAGTGCTCCCTCGACTCCCGTGACGTGTCTTCTCCCAAGTGCTGGTATCCCGTGCTCTCTGTGCCTACGCACACCCTGTGCGTCCTGCAGTGTTTCGCTCTCCTGAGGAAAAAACGACAGAAGCAGCCGTTATGGCACCAACTCCGGCAGGCATACACTTTAACAACACTAGAGACACTGACATGGAGTCTAACTCAACGATCCTGCGCCGGAGGAAGCTCCACCGCTCTGTTAAGTAGCTCCCCCGACGATCCTGATCAGGAGCAGGTGTGTGGGAAGCTAGGCGTGACCAGCAGCTGGCAGGGCCACACCCATCAGGCCTGCAGGTGGCTGTCCTTCATCCTCCAGCCACACACACACCCACACCAGCATGGAACACAAGAGCACAGTGCAGCAAACATACATCCAATACACTAATAACAATAAAGGTACACACTGTTCACGAACCCCGAGTCCCCGGAACCGGGTCCGTGACAGAAACTCTCTTATTCTCTCTCTCTCTCACTCACTCTCTGTGTAGATGGGAATCTGCGGCTGATATTCACAGACAAGAATCTGGATGAAGATAAGAAGGCGCTGTCTGAATATGGAATCCAGCATATGTCTGTTATCCAAGTAGTGCTGAGACTTCCCGGAGGACTGAGAGCCTGAGCGAGACAGGCTCCACCCACAGCTGCCAATGCCGTTGACGCTACGTGAAAGCTCTCGCAACTGTTTACATATATTTTAGCCTTGTTTTAAAGCACTTCTGATACACTCATTTTTCACTGATGAATAAAATAAAACTGTATTATTTCAACTGTGTCATCTTTGATTAAGCGTGTATATTTGGAGGTCCTTAGAAAACAGAAGCCGTAATAATACGTTAATAAATGCAGGGCACGTTTTCTCACGTTTTCTCTAGTGTGTATCCAGCAGGAGGTTCTCTAAATCGTGAGCAAGAAGCATAGTGAGTGATTTGTCTCTGAAAATCTATGATTAAAAATTATTTCATAGATTAAAACAGTTGTTGAATTTCAAAGTGACGCAGATGACGTCAATGAATACATTTCACAATACATCTTTTCTTGTGGAGGTACATTAAATACAATATTATAAGCTTTGTAAAAATGAAATCCAGATCTCCTTTTCACCCTGTCAATTACTTCATATGCTGCGTTCATTGTCTTACGTAAATTTCATATACTACCCAATTAAAACTGAAGTCCATGTTAATAGCTTCTGTGTGTTGTGTTTGTGAGTCAGAACATATTAGGTGTTCTTCATTAACATTTTTAATAATCTGGTTCTGAAAAGGAAACAACTGTAAATCATTGTCAGTCATCTAGCTGTCTTTTGATAATTTCGAGATTTCCAACACAGCATGAAGGCAACATTGCAGCAACTCGACGAGAAGAGAAAGAGAAAGTATTCCGGTGCTTTTAAATTCACTGGATCTGCAGGTCGCAGTATGTTTGTTTGCCTCGAGAATAAAGTAGTTTCCGAAGGATCCAGAGAAATGCCTTGAAATAAACCGAAGGAAGGATTGTATGTGCTGTTGTTTATTTCCCGTTAATTGCCGTTTATTCCTTTTAAGGAGCAGTTTCTTCAGCAGAACAGCAAGTAAAGTGAAGTGAAAATGAGCAGAAAGGACACAGGTATTGTTTACAACAAATACGATTTTAGTAAATATTTAGAGCATTTTTTGATTGTTTTTTGTTTTCCTCCTCAAGCGTATTGTATAAGTTGTATATTTATCCAGCGTCCAGGAATTTCGATTTCCTTTTTGTCTTTTTTAGTAGCCTACTCGTGTACTTGGAGCTGGCTTTTTTCCATTTAGCCTTCATCAACATCCTTATCATCATAAATGTTTAAGAGATAGAACATTGCTGATTATAGATCTCTCTCAGGATTTCTGAAGTTATGTTTAGATTCTTTTTTCTAACCAATTTATTGCACTAGGTTTATTACTTAGTTTGGACAGACACGGACTCTAAAGAGAGTTTTGCTTGTTCTAGTTGACCAGTTACTGAGGCCACTATACTCCTGGCAATGCTCCAGCCTTACATGGCCCTGATCTATGGGTCAACGTAATTTATTTCGGTTTACAGGCAGTTCTTTATTGGCTCTCTTTTTTCTCTCGCACTGTAAAGTTTGGAACACAATATAAATCGGCACGTGCTTTCCCAATCAGCCGATCACATCAAACAACTAGATTTGACTAGAAGTGGCAAATTAGATATTTTAGCGTAATGTCGACAAAAGAAAAACGAAATAAAAAATACCCAGTTAAACTCCTATATGTAGAAATTAAAATATAATAATTATAGAATAAATTATCAATAAATAAATAAAATATAAATGGGTTTGACTGTTTTGGTTTATTTCTCTTTGGGTATTTTATGATCCAGGCTCATGTTTTAAATATATATCTTCTTTGTATGAATTCTCTCTTCCCATCAGCTAACAGGTATCATGGGTTGATAAAGCAAGGATCCACATGTTACTTGAACAGTGTGCTGCAGGTGCTGTTCATGACCAAAGACTTCAGAGAGGCTGTGAAAAAGTTTGTTGTCCAGCTTTAAGTGTGATTCTGTATTTATCATATATGAAGTTTACGGTGCATTTTTAATCACTCATGTTTACTTCCTGTGTAGGTACTCCGAACAAAATCCCCACTCTGAATTCCTTGATCATGATTTGAAAGCCTTATTTGATGACTTACAGAAGTATACAACATACACATATAAAATAACAAACAAGCTGGGCATCGACAACGGTACAGAGCAACAAAACCTTTTTAACACTGTAAACTCCTGAGCACTGTATAACTTTTAAAAATATTACTATCATTGATCTAATTATTTCATCATTATAAAAATGGAAAATTGTAGGGCAAAATTACAAAATGACTTTTACAAAAATGCATTTGTCACAGTGTATGAACAGCGTGATGCTGCAGAGTACTTTGAGAGGATTTTAAGAATGACCAGTCCTGATGCATCAAAGGTAAGGTCTTCATCGATGCTAAAGGATATCTATATCTACACACTGGATCAATATATCACTTTTTAATTGTGGAGTCTTTGCCTTAGAGTATAAAATGCATTGAACAACTTTTGTTGTGAACAAATGCTTTCTAATTATAACTGAAAGAAAATGAACAGATTTTTGTGCATCTGTATTTTCAGATCTTTCACGGTCAGTTAATAAACAAGACCACCTGCTCTAAAGGTCATATACAGACTGACAGAGATGCACCATTTTGGTATCTTCATCTTTCACTGGTGGATTGTTGCAGTGAAGACTACAGTGTGGTAAGGATCTGACATGTTGCAAACTTCTCAGCATGTTTCTGTCTGCCAGGATAGGACGGCTGTGAAGAAACATTTTGAACTTAAATGCTTTTGCCAGTAAAATATATAATATTTTTATATTTCCCCCAGTAAATGATGACTGTTTTATTAAATCCACAACAGAAAGTTTATGCATTTAGCTTTGCTTAAGTAGATTCTGTGCAGCGCTTTGTCCTACCAGAGGTCTGAAGCTGTACTTCCAACTTAGTTTCCCACTGTTGTTTGATGTTAATGAGTGGAAAGGAATCACAATGAAGGATATAGGTATATAATCATGTATGTCCACTCTTTTGAGTTTTCTGGTTTGTCTAAAGTATCTGATTATTTAGCAAGAAAATGTACAGCAATGATCTCTGAAAAAAAACTGTAAAAGCTGTAATTCTGATACAGGTCATACAAATTTAAAAAAAAGAAAAGAATTAAATCTAAAAGTCTGCACTTTAGTCACATATTGACTGATTTACACTCCACTGTGGTGGTGTACAGAGCTGAAAGTAGAAAAAAAACAAACCCTCCAGTGGTAATTTTACTTTATGGCTTTTCTTTTCACTTTTCTCTTAAACAATACATCTTAACCTTTAGGTCTGAATTAATAAAGTTAGTAGGCCATGTTGAAAATCTTCCTTCTAGAGGAAAGATTCTTAGCTTCACTTCACTGGTCAGCACATTATTGTTTGAACTGATTTTAAATAACATTTTTCAGGTGAAGGGCATTGAAGAGTTTTTTAAAACTTCAGATTTCTGTGGAGAAAATCAGAAGTACTGTGAGCAGTGTGATGACAAAGTTGATGGTAGTATGGTGAGTTAAAAAAGTTTATGATTCTTTTATTATTCTTTAAATAAAATTATGAAACCATATTGACTTGTAATGGAAGCAGACAAGCTCCTTGAGGTGACTGTTGTTGTGATTTGGTGCTGTATGAATAAAACTGTCCTAAATTAAATGTTTCTCATTCAGAGAGATGTAATAAAGCATCATCCAGATGTTTTGTGTCTGCTGCTGAAGAGGTTTGAGTTCAACTATAATTACATGTCATACTTCAAAATCACCTGTTCTGTGGAGGTTCCCTACACCCTGCAGATACCAGAGGTAAATGTGCAGAATATTTTAGTTTTTAATCATAATCCATTTTATTTTCTTCAGTCATTCCGATGTTTGCCATTTTTCCTTTGGTAATCAGAGTCAGAAATATGAACTATATGCGTTTCTGGATCATTTTGGGGATCTGAGAGGTGGACATTACTCCGCCACAATCAAGATCCAGGAGGACCACAGAGACAGATGGTATCAGTTTGATGATACCAGAGTCACAGAGGTAAGATGGATCACTTATACATTTTTGATACCAAAAGACATTCCTACATTACTCATGCGTGACAGTAGCCCAGCTGATCATTCATGTCATACTTTATTATTTTTTACATCATCAGCTTGATTTTCAGCCATTCCAGCTGGATAACACTGAGAAGTAAGTTTTCGTGCTTGTTACTTCCACTGTAAATTATTTTCCAATTATTTCTTAACTTTTCACACGAGTATGCACTAAACATGCGTTAAATACACTTTTCTCAATTACAGTGTGCTACATGTTGAAGTATCATATCACACTGTTGCTATAATCACAACTGCAGATTTTTCTGTGATTGATTCAACTCTGTCCCCAAAACTCTCCTGTGCAAAAGCAAAATAATAAAATCAATGAAAACAATTAAAACATTTATGTGTATCTTTTAATATTTACTCTGTTAGTAAAATGTAAACATACAAAGACACATATTAATACGTCGGAAAACACTGCTGCAAAAAAGAAATATGTTATAAAATATTAGCCAAACACATCACTGCGAAACTGTGAAAGTAACATATTTGTTACATGTCATATTTGTCAATTAGGTCCCAGACTACATATCTTCTGTTTTATAGCAAAAAGAAAGGTAAGAGAAAATGTTTTTGTTGTCGTTTCCTCAGCTGTTTGGTGCCTGAATGATTTTGTTTCTACTTTGTGCTTCATGCTGCAGACACTGCTATTCCAGAGTCCACAGATGTGTCCACCAGTGGACTACCTACCATCAGTAATGAATATGATCAGAGTCAAGATGGGAAAAATAAGAGCAATAGAAAGAGAAAAGGGGAGAAGACAGACACAGCGGATAATCCAAAGACTGCTCGCTTAAGAGAAGCAGGGGGATCACCTGACACCCCCTGTAACGTAGATCCTCTGGACAAAGAACCAAATGAGGACAAAGGAACCACTGGAAGTGATGACCTGGATCAAAAACACACAGAAGTGGATGATGCTGAAAAGAACAGACTAGATATTAATATTGATTTTAAACTTGATAGCAGTGATCGATCAGCAGTCTGTGATGATCTAAGCAGACAGTATGAGATGAGTAAATTAATGGATGATAAAGCAGATAACGATGAAAAGGCTAAAGATAAACAGTCAGAGAAAAAAAGCCATGCAGAGCATCCAGCTGACACTGTTGGAGAGAACATATGTGAACATCAGGAGAATAAACAAACCTGTAGTCCTTCTCATGCTGAGGAGAAAACAAAAACAGATTTTCAACATGACACAAAAGGAAAGATTAGTGCTGATAAACCAACAGCAGAGATGTGCTGTGACACATTTCAGGATAAAGAAAAAGTTGATGAAGGAAAAGAAAACATACTACAAGATGATCAGAGTCATAAACATGGAAACAGACACAGTGATACACTGAACATGCAGGAGATCAGTGTTACACATTCAAGTGATAATGATGTTTGTGTAGAGAGAGAAATCCGAAATGTGAAGGAGGACAGGAGAGAAAGAAAAGGAGACGAAAAAGGTGACCACAGTAAGTTTGAACAAAACACAGTAGAGGAGGTAAGTGGTGCTGCTACAACACAGAAAGATGTTGATGTGGAGGAAAAGAAAGAATATGAAGGAAATACTAAACAAATTCAGATCAGACAGAAACCCCATCTGAGACCAGCAGGAGCAGAAATAATAGAAGCACCCAAAGAAAACCAGGATGATGCTACTAATGAAAAAACTAAAGCAGAGAGTTTTCAACTAAAAGCCAGACCAAAAATTCAGGGAGTCACAGAAGGAGGACGTGGTTCACAGAAGTCAGGAAAAGTTCAAATAACTTATGAAGAAAAAATGCAGACTCCAGATTTTGAAATCATAAGGACAAAGATGAAGAACATGAGAATAGAAAGTGTAGGGAAACCCACACAGGGCAGCTCTGAGAGATGTGTCAAAAATAATGAAGGAATCACTGAAAATAAATGGTAAATGGTAAATGGCCTGCATTTGTATAGCGCTTTTCTAGTCCCTAAGGACCCCAAAGCACTTCACACTACATTCAGTCATCCACCCATTCACACACTGGCGATGGCAAGCTAGATTGTAGCCACAGCCACCCTGGGGCGCACTGACAGAGGCGAGGCTGCCGGACACTGGCGCCACCGGGCCCTCTGACCACCACCAGTAGGCAAACATGGGGTTAATATCTTGCCCAAGGATATTTGGCATGCAGCCAAATCTCAGACAACAAATACAGCCAAGCCCAGAAGAGTAGAACTGAATGATGCAAGTCTGCCAGAGCAGCAGAAAAGAAGAACCAAAAGAGAAGAACGAAAACACCATGACACAAACTATCCAATATACACCAAAACTGATGTAGATGATGTAGAAATAGAAGCTGCTAAATCAAGTGGGTTGTGTTCATGTTTTGTTGCTTTGAAAAAATACAAATAAAAAAGCCAGACCAGGATTTGGAGTCAAATTAAGTTGAATCATTATTAAATGATTATTTATTTTATGTCTCCACATCCTTATGCTAATTAAACATTTAATTGAATGTTTTATATTTTTCAACAGAGATTGAAGCTCTTTAATAACGCTTATGATTTTGTCTTGGTCTAATTGGAGAATGCAGCATGAGTGTTGTTTCCCTTTTTTATTTAATATAATACATTACCAGTCTGCCCGAGACAGTAACAGTGGTGAAATTGAACTAATATAAACAAATCATGTTATGTTAAGGTGCTTTAGAATCACTTTAGAATAAGTATGCACTATTTATCTTATTTGTTGCTTTATCTAATTAAATTTTGCTTTTTAATGTTGTGGCTCTTTAACTGGGATGTATTTTTTTAAATCATCTGGTCGATATCTTAAATATATTGTTTCCCTGTTTAATATTTCCTAAATTGTTTTTCATATTAGTTATTTCACTTTCTTTTCTGCAAATAAACTGAGGCATGTTTGATTATTGAATGTGCAGCTGTCACTTTAGCAATAAACATCAGCAGAGAGAGCACATTTCTTTGTTATATACCCCTCTGAAGTCTTACTTTTGAAAAAACCTGTAAAAACAGCATATAAGGACATAAAGGAAGGAAAAAAAGTAAACTAAACATGTGAACACATTGGAAAATTGGAATGCAAGTCAAGTACGAATACTACAAGTTACAAATCTGAGTATGCACATACAGAGATTTAGTTTTAACAACTTTGCTACAGTAATTTTTACAGACCTAGTAAAACAAGTATACTTGGTGATGTGGCAAGTCCTTTGTACACAGGTGTTTCTCCCACACCTTCTTTTACTGCTTCAGTCTCAGCTGAGATCATATCATGCCAGAAAATTTGTTGTACCAGGAAACATGTCTTTAAAACTATAGTATAAATACATCTGTCTGTAACCCTGTGATTCAGCCTGATAATACCTTACAGGGTTATTTATTAATTTTCAGAAACAAAGTCTTATTTTAGAAAATCTTGTTTGGTTTTCAAGTGGTCAAGTCATTTATTGCTTTGTTTTCATTGCAGAGATAGGTGCCAGCTATCACTGACTTTGAACTGGATAAGATTTCAAGAAGATATATTAGAAGATTTTTATATGCTTTCAGTTTCTTTGTGGCAATAATAGGTCACGTGTCCACAGAACAACAGTAATTTTAAACTATTACTAACAGTTCAGTTTTTCTTTTTTTATGTCAAATAATGGGTTTGATGTACTGCAGTTGAAGTAAACCTTTGCCCTTTGTGGTAATGATAATGCTGTCTGTGTGAAGTTCCTTATTCACCACTCACAGCTTAGATTAACAGATTACTTCAAAACGCTTTTTCATTTAGTCAAAGAGAATGTGAAGCAACAGGTTGCCACATACCAAACACCACAGTTGGGTAATTTCCCTTAATTTTTTATTTTCAGAGAACAAAATGCCTGGCTCACATAATCCTCATAAATTCTCAAAGCACTTAACAGTATCAAACATATCTTCCACTGGATGGTTAAACAGGTTTGTCCACCCCACTGTAACTTTAAAGTAAGCTGATAAAATATTTCCAGCAAACACACACATTGTCATTCAGATGAAAACTGGAAACTACTTAACACACTCTCATTAGTCTCATATGTAACCAGAACAATGATATGTGTGTTTTCTTTCTTTTCTTTCTTTCTTTTTTTTTTTACTGCTTCACATCCGGTTTGTTGTGCCAAATGATGGCCATGAGTGAATTCATCAGTCCGGTTATGTTAGGTTTAATGTATGTGTTGTAGGTTGCCATTTAAAAGCTACACATTGCCATTTAAAAAGCTAGAATACTTTTGTTTGCTTCCTATGTAACCCATGAATATGTGTATGTACACGACCTCCATAAAGGGATTAAGCAGCCTTGAGAAGAACAGACTCTACTCAATGAAGGAAGCCACCTGGCGGGACAAGATAACGACAACATCCTGGGAGGGCTGCACTCACATCGTATAACCACGCTAGCACAACACACTTTGTAACCATATATAGTAATTTGTCTTAGTTAATACAGCAACAAGCTTTATGAATATCCATGTGTGTAAACAATAAAAACAACCTGCAGGGGGAAGCAAGTTGAAGTGGGTTGGAGACAACTACTTCCGTCTCGCGAGTGAAACCTTGAGCTCTGTGTGACCTCTTTCCTGAGAGAGTTTCTGTTTATCCAGCAGTATCAGCGGTAAAACTCTGACAGGTTGTATAACAATACAAAAAATAAAGCATTTTAACATCCAGTTTGATGCACATTCAGAACACCACAATGGCAAAAGCAACACAATAAACAGTGTGTGAATGTGTGTGTGAATGGGTGGATGATTGGATATGTAAAGCGCTTTGGGGTCCTTAGGGACTAGTAAAGCGCTATATAAATACAGGCCATTTACCATTTTTAAACCCACAAACTCTCCAAGTAAGATAATCCACCCAGAGTTAGATCAGGTATACTTTGACTACATGGTGCCAGGTTCCAAAAGTAGTGCAATAAAACCCATAAGTCATAAAATAAATGCATAAACCTCGACTCCCAGCAGCACTAACAGGGATTAAGTAAAATAAAAGTGTATAAAATAATCACGGCTGCTAATCTGTAGTCACATGACTTCTCATAACTGCTGGAGAGAAACTGAAAGTGATAAAGATTAAATTAAAACAAAATGGCGGGCATTCTGTGGTGTGTGTAGAGGACAGGTTCGGTGTTTACTTTCATTAAAATAGGTGAAAGGATAACCGGTGAAAACCAAATGAACCAATTGGCAACGTTCTCGAGAAAACTGAAAGGACAGGGGAAGGAGAGGGAAAAGCATGCAGCCTCTACAAACACTGAACTTTCTGTTACTGAAGTTTCAAAACCAGAATTAGTTTTTCTAACTTTTTCAGTTTCTGAGCCTAATAATATAGACATAAGACTTTCAACTTAATTCAATTCAATTCTGTTTTATTCATATAGTGGCAAATCACAACAACAGTCATCTCAGGGAACTTTATATTATAAGGTAAAGAGCCTACACTCCTACAGAGAAAACCACAGATTCTATCTTGCTTTCTTTTCATAACAATTTCAATACTTTGTGATGCTGAATAGACAGAGTTTTACACAAGATTTTACAAAACATGTTTAAAATAAAGGGATGCCATTTCAAAATCAGAGATTGATGGAAAACAGAGCAAAGCAAACAAAGAAGAGAGAGAGAAAAAAGACGCTGTTAAATCTATTGCTTTTGCCACGTAGGTATAGAGGTCTGTCTTGGGGCCACCATACCATCGGCACAAGGTCCGGAATACATTCCTCTTTTTCCTGCACATTCACTTGTGAGTTTCAGGCACACAAAACAGAACTCCTTCTTACATGTTGGGCAGACAATATTTTTACACTTATTTTTGTTATGCTCCACCAGCACGCCACAGGTGGGACAAGCACGGATGCAGGGACAACCACTGACATTATTCACAGACTCAAAGATGATATCTTCACAGTTTTTCAATATTTGAAGTGTTTCGTTGGAGCAGCCAACATTGTCACAGCGGTCTGACCGAGGCCGTGGACCCTTCCATTCCTTCAAACACTGCCAACAGAACTCATAGGTTCTGTCTTTTTCTTTGCTGCACCAGCTGCAGCAGACACTCAGGTTAGATACATCCTTTCTCACAACACATGAACTGCATCCAGGACACTGTGATGTGGTTGATAGTGGAGGAAAAGACAAGGCAAATAGCTTTGTTTATTCTTCAATTTGGTGGCCAAAGACATAATTACAGCTAATCTACAGTATGAAAAATGAAAAATAAACTAGTACAATTATTTGTCAACATGTAATAATAGCCTGCTAATGCTTCATGATTACAACATTCCAGTACTTACTAATTTGTAATCAAAACGATGCTTCATAGCATTCAAGGTCATGGTTTGTCCAAAGTACTCCTTTTCCTCAGGGGTCAAAAGAGCCATTTTACAAACCTCTCCGTAAGACCATATGATATCACAACCAGGTAGAGCACACACAAAGTTGATTTCACCCTGTAGTAAAACAGTTTTAAAAATATATTTATTAAAACGATAGTTTCTAAATAAACCCTAAACGCTGTTCTTAAGTGTAAGCCATCTAACCAGCAGTTTCAACATCAGGATCTGAATCCAACAAATTTAAGCTATAGTTTACTAACTTTAAATACTGGAACTACAAAAAACATTATATTGTATACTCTTTCTCACATTCAGCAATATCTCACTCCTTCCCCAGTAACAGTTAATGCACAAGAGAAGCTGAGAGAGATTTTCTTGAAACCATACACACCAGGGATGTGTCCAGTTATTCAAAAACCAAACCAAACCAAAATAAGTCAGATTGTCTCCACTAATGTGGACACTCTGACTTCTTGTAGATTCAGGCATAGTTTTAGCATTTAAAGTCACTTTTTGTGTGTGATTTGTTAACTTCAGTTCTACTTGTTGCATTGATTTTGGTAGGAAATTACTGTCTTTTACCAAAGTGAATATCTTGAAGTTCTTTCTGTCTTTCTTTCCTTCTTCTTGTTTTACATGTTGTTTTATAAGAAAACACATCCAGTGATCCAAGAGGCCCTCAAACTGAAAGAGCTTAAATAAATTTGTCCGTTTTATTTCATCATATCTGATTTTGCTAATGTGGAATTTCGAAATGCCTCTGGTCTAATTAATCATTAGTTTACAATAAAGACGAATAATAATGTAGCCTACCTTCTCCAACAACCGAAGACAATAGTTGGTTAGAGAGGATGGGGTCACAGCATGACCGCAGGACATCAGAGCTCTTCCAGACGCGAAACCTTCACAGTAGACTAAAAAACAGAATAAAGAGTTTTTCGCAGACTGAAAAAAATGAGAGCGGACTAAACAAGAACATTTTTGGTTACTTACTGTCTAATTCATCCTCTCTATCTACAAGATTAAAAGTGGAGTTGTAACATTTCTCTTCTTTAGTTTTCGAAATTGAGCTCATCTTTCGTTCTTTATTGGTGTCGACTGCAAAGTAACTGATGCAGCTGAAACACTTTCGCTTTCTTTTTATACTAGGTGTCACATTACGTTGCGGGGTTTTCCAGAGACTAACGAATAAACGCAACATACCGGAAATGCAGCGGGAGGAAAGCATGTTCAGTTATGATATGTAATATCAACCTAAACTATTTTAGTAGTTCAGAATGATGAGGAGATGCTGAGGAACGCATGCTGACTACGATGGATTTGACACTAACTATGCGATAGACTCAATCAGAAAACTGCAAATACCCAGTCCCCTCGTCTCTTATGAAATGACCTAGAATTTTCTGTGTTACACCTAATAACATAGTGGGTCGCTGGTCAGGTTTGAAAGCGTATTAAATTCACATCTGTTGTTGGTTAGGCTTTAAACTAGGCAATCAAAAGAAATCATACGGTAGCATTTATGCCTTTAATTATGATTCGTACAAAAATGAAAGCGCCAGTCTCACACAGCCCCACCCTCTGACGTCGGGTTCAAAATTAGACCTGAAACAGCTTCAGCTCACATTCAGAGATTAGGGTTAACTAGACGGGATTTACTGTTGCCTCTCACGGAAAAACAAAACAAAAACAGTGCTACATAAAACATGAGTAAAACCCGCCAGGTCATTGTGTATGGGTTGGGAAAAGAGAGAAGGGTGGTTGATCTCTGCGACACAGAGGAGACATTGAAGAAAATGCCTGTCCGGCAGCTGAGAGAGAAAATAGCAGACCGTTTTGGTATGAAAGCAGGTAAGCTAAACGCTGAAAACGTACGGGGCCAAACATATAAATCTTTGAATTCAGGTGTTTTCACGTGTATAAAATACAGCACTTAGCCATGCAGTCTGCCTTTACAACATGTTAAGGAATGGGTTATTCTAATCAGAGCCGTTGAGTAAATCGGAGTTACACCAGCGGGTTTTCAGAATTGGGGTTGTTGTCATTGGCTAATTCCGGTAGTGCTTATCGGCAAATTTAAATGAAGTGTCAGAGAGATGGGTAATTGTTAATCTATAAATGCATCGAATTAGGATATTTGCATACCACAAAAAATAGTTGCATTGATATAAATGCATTTTAACTGTAAACTAGCCTTTGTGAGGATTTGTCTGAACAGTTTCTGTTACCCATAGCTGTTAAGTCAAATTTAATGTAATGTATTTATGTAGCATCCCCGGTTGAAAAGATGGTCTCTCAAACTGATGGTTCACAATCCTTTTATTAAACAGCCGTGTATGTGAACACACCGTAAGAGCTACAACATACAGAATAAAAGACTATTAGTAAATCAAACAGTGTGTTACCTTTAACCTTTTGACTTATTCATTAATCACAAATTAATTCTCCTTACCTTACGTAACAAAAAACACTAAAACTTGTAAATTATTGCGTATAACAGGGAAATCGTTGCATCGCTGCCTAAACATGACGAGGTACGTTAGCGCCCTCTAGTGGGTGAAAACTTAGCCTTTATGCTTAGTAGCGGTCAGCAGCTATATGCTCCGTAAAACAACAAAATACATATCTACAGGACAAACTTTGTTACAAACCTTGTTCCCTCATCAACCAGGTGCTAAGAAACTGCTTTCAACTCAGTGTTGCACCTTAATAGCCGTTCTTTTTCCCATTCCCGTCCATTAACCTTAGAGCACACCTTCTCTCTGTGCATTAAAACTCGCGCTTCTGCTATATGGTTTACACCACTTGATTTACGGCACCTTGTCGCTCTGTGACTTTCAAAATAAAAGCATTCACTCCAACAATATAATAGTCACTCATAACTTTACAAAATATTAAAGAGGACATTTACAATTTATACAATTTTAACTTCAACTCCACCGCAAAAGCTTGTATTCTCCAATTCTGTGATATCTGGTAAATGGGCATTAAAATAACAGAATACCAACAGACTGTGACTATAGTTAGTCCTGCCAACATAATCACATATATATTGATTGATTGATATACCTTTATCATATATATATATTTACAGCACTTAAATCTCCCAATGTATTGGTAGATAATCTGCCAATACATCCGGTATGCATTGTACAGCACAAGTTAATTTTATCTGAGTGTACTGATAGCAAAGAATTTATTTCCAAAAATATTACCTTTAAAAAGTACATCTCAATCTTCTGCGCTGCTTTATCTCCATTGTGAACCCAGCTTATGTTGCTAACTTCCAGAACTATTGCAATGATCTGCTATTACTGGGTATGAATGGAGATGACACGACTCTTCCATTCAGCGTCTCTGGCTCTAAAGCACTCAATAACTTTGATTATGTTACTGTAAAAGGGTGCCACCAGTGGAACAAGTCAGTTTGTAAAGTTTATTCTCTCCTTGATATTTGAGGATCTATTCAGTAGGCCTGAATAGATTGACTGCAAAGTGGAATTTTTTTTTGAACCATCAAGACTTACAGCTTTGATGAATCTATGTAGAGACCTACAAATGCTACATGAAGTTACAGAGCGGGATCACTGATCGATGAAGAAGAAAAATTCACCAACACTCTGCTGACTTAAAAGCTGCAGGCCTCCAAACGTCCTCTGCCATATATTGACATTTTAAGTAATTTGTTTCAGTTTTATTTCAGAGTAATGTTTATGTTTTGCCAAAAAATATGCACATGCTTTGATTTTGATTCTCACTCCCAACTGCATGTGCTTGGACAGATGATCTACAGATGATTGTGAAAGACAAGCGGCTGGACAGAGAAGACAAACTTCTGTCTGATTATGGAATTGGACACTTGTCTGTTATTCGCCTGGTCTTGATGGTTGAGGGAGGACTGGCAGCTTGACAGAGGGCAACAGCGAGCACAACCAACAGCTCTTTACTTTTTTATCTTCAAGTGCTTTTATCTTTCTTTCAAAAATGAACAAAACTGGAAATGAAACTGGAATGAAATGAAGGAAATATTGGAATGAGCTAAGAAAAAAATAATGAAAATATGAAAAATCTCTCTTGAGAACAAGGATTCATGTCATACATAAGATGCCTCTTGAGACCATACACTTTTATCAAAGTTTTATTACATGTTACAAGTTTTATGACATTACAATTGAAAAGTGAATGGTTTCTGACAGAAATAAAAATATGCTTCACTCTGATTCTTCATCTCTTTAAAAGTGCAAATGCAATCAATTAGTTTTTTTAAATAGAGAGTGCAAACTGTAAACAGTTGATCCACTTTTCAACCCCTATTAAAACCTTACTCTAGGCATTTCTCTGACCACAAAGAAGCTGGGCGTCAGTGGTACAATATGTGTTAGTAAGTGTTAACAGCATCTTGAAATTTTAAATGTACAATTTACTGTGACAACAGCTAAGGGAGGTGGGAGGCCACAGCAGTCAGTGCTTGCAGTGTATTCTACTGGTGAGCAAATTACAATACAACAAAATGTCATGGTTCTGGGTCGGTGACAGAGTGCTTTGAGTTTATTATTATCATTTTGTAGTTTATTCTGATTTTGTATTAGTTCTTTGGGTTTGGTCAGCGTGTTTATTATCCCTACCTATGTCTTCCCTCTGTGCTCCATTCAGGTCCCCGCGTTTGTGTTGTAAAATAGTCTGTGTGTTTCCTGTTTTACTTTGTAGGTCAACACGCGAGGGGGGTACCCTGCGCGTCCATAAGTGCAGCAGAGGGAGCCTGAGCATGCGTCACACGTTTGACGAGTTGGGAGTGAGAACGTGTTGATTTATCTTATTTGTTGCTTTATCTAATTAAATTTTTCTTTTTAATGTTGTGGCTCTTTAACTGGGATGTATATTTTTAAATCATCTGGTCGATATCTTAAATACATTGTTTCCCTGTTTAATATTTCCTAAATTGTTTTTCATATTAGTTATTTCACTTTCTTTTCTGCAAAGAAAAGTGGTCAAGTCATTTATTGCTTTGTTTTCATTGCAGAGATAGGTGCCAGCTATCACTGACTTTGAACTGGATAAGATTTCAAGAAGATATATTAGAAGATTTTTATATGCTTTCAGTTTCTTTGTGGCAATAATAGGTCACGTGTCCACAGAACAACAGTAATTTTAAACTATTACTAACAGTTCAGTTTTTCTTTTTTTATGTCAAATAATGGGTTTGATGTACTGCAGTTGAAGTAAACCTTTGCCCTTTGTGGTAATGATAATGCTGTCTGTGTGAAGTTCTTTATTCACCACTCACAGCTTAGATTAACAGATTACTTCAAAACACTTTTTTATTTAGTCAAACAGAATGTGGAGCAACAGGTTGCCACATACCAAACACCACAGTTGGGTAATTTCCCTTAATTTTTTATTTTCAGAGAACAAAATGCCTGGCTCACATAATCCTCATAAACTCTCAAACTTCCACTGGATGGTTAAACAGGTGTGTCCACCCCACTGTAACTTTAAAGTAAGCTGATAAAATATTTCCAGCAAAAAGTTGAGAAGCCTCATATTTAATCCTTCAAAAATACCTCTTGTTTTTGTGGCCAAATAATTCAATCTTTGTCACGTTTGACCATAAAGCTTTTTTCCAGGTGGCATTTGGTTTTAAATGCGAGCAGCTGCAAATTTGATTCAAACTTGAAGATGCTGACTATGGAGCAGTGGCTTCTTTCTTGGTCAGCAGCCTCACAGTCCATAGAGATGTATAACTGTCTTCACTATGGACAGTAAAAATGGTGTTCCAGCTGTTATAAATTGATAGCATGCTCGAGACTTGATGGTTCCTGGGTTTTTCTTAAACATCATGCCCAGTTTCCTCTCGTTTGAGGATGACAATCTGAGTTTTCTTCATCTTCGTAAAGTAAGTATGTAATACTGCGTACTTATTTTCATGGTGTTTGAACTGAAGAACTTGGAATCTGCTGACTTGTGTAAATCTGCAGTCCTAAAGGATAATTTCAGTTCTTCATTTTGAGGTAGATCACTACCCCTTTCTTAACTTTGTAGGACCAATGAGAGGACCAGTTCAGACTAAGTTTCATGAGTCAGCGAACCTGCAGCTGGATCTTCAGCTGCTTCAATATTTATGAAAAGACACCAGAGACAAACTTGTGGTTTACTGTTGAATATGCTTTGTGACTATGCTGTAGGAACTGGACACATTTTTGGAGGTGAAGCATTTGAGAGAACATGATTATTAAACTTAACTGAAACTAAACTTAGAACTATTACCAACTATGAAAACAATTTTGGAGAACGTAAATGAAAAAAAATAGTTTGACTTAAAACAATATTTATAGGCAAGGCAAGTTTATTTGTATAGCACAATTCAACAACAAGGTGATTCAAAGTGCTTTACAGAGACATTAGAAACAAAAACAAATAAAAAGCATGATTTAAAATTGATTAAAACAAGAAAACAAACAAACTAATCAACAAACAAACAAAACAGTATATAAAATCAAAACAGATAAAATCAGAACAGTAGATAAAATCAGTAGTTAAAATGTTAGTTTTGAAATTTAAGCTTAAAAGTGTGGATTTGGTGCTTTATTCAAATGCAGCTGAGAACAGGTGAGTCTTCAACCTGGATTCAAATAAACTGAGTGTTTCAGCTGATCTGAGGCTTTCTGGGAGTTTGTTCCAGATATATGTAGCGTAAAAGCTGAATGCAGCTTCTCCGTGTCTGGTTCTGACTCTGGGAACTGATAAAAGACCGGATCCAGATGACCTGAGGGATCTGGAAGGTTCATACTGGGTCAGGAGGTCACTGATGTATTTTGGTCCTAAACCATTCAGAGCTTTATAGACCAGCATTAGAAATTTAAAGTCTATCCTCTGACGGACAGGCAGCCAGTGTAAAGACCTCAGAGCTGGACTGATGTGGTCCACTTTATTGGTCTTCGTCAGGACTCGAGCAGCAGAGTTCTGAATGAGCTGTAGTTGTCTGACTGATTTTTTAGGTAGACCTGTAAAGATGCTGTTACAGTAATCAAGCCTACTAAAGATGAATGCATGGACTAGTTTTTCCAGGTCCTGTTGAGACATCAGATCTTTTATCCTTGAAATATTCTTGAGGTGATAGTAAGCTGACTTTGTTATTGTCTTAATGTGTTTTTCTAAGTTTAGGTCTGCAATTTCTCGCCTGGTTTGTGGTTTTTAGGTGTATAGATTGAAGTTCTCTGCTGACCTGTAATCGTTTTTCTTTGGCGCCAAAGACTATTACATTATACAGTATTTTGCACCTATAACTAAAATATAAAAAATGAAAATCAAACAGTGTCCCTTGTTTCAGCAATTGCCAATTTCCTAAAATTACTCAAAGTGAGCATACGGAAGCTTTCAATATTTTATGGCCATCTACACGACTGTGAGACTAATGTGGGAACTGGCAAAAAAATAAATAAATAAAGATTAAAAATAATCAAAAAGGCAAAGAAAATAACTGGGAAAAAGGTTTTATTTCATAGAACAACACAGACTGGTGTTGTATTTGGAATAAAGGATGATCAATAAAACGATCATTGTCACTAAACAGTAAAACAGTATAATAAGTACCATTTACAATACATGTGAACAGTGTCAAGAGGCTTTCTAAAGCATCACAGAAAGTAGCAGCAGTAGTGGTACGACAGATGGAGATGATCTTAGTCAAGCTTTCAGTCCTCCAGGAACCTTCATCACCATGTGGAGGACGGACATGTGCTGGATTCCATATTCAGACAGAAGGGTGTTGTCTCCATCCAACATTTTATCTGTGAATATCAGGCGCAGAGCCTCCTCTCCTGCACACACACACATTTTTTTTTAAAGTAAATCTATATCATTTTTATTAGGCACATCCACAGAGATGCATTAGATTATTAGCCCACATTTACTTACTTTACTTAAGTAATGTACTTAAAGTTGGATTTCCTCGTTCCTAGAGTGAGTTTTCACATAATGCACTTTTTTTTCTCTAACTGCTTTAACATTTTTGCCTTTGAAACTCTTCAACTACAAATAACTACATGAACTTGAGCAGTTTGATGTAGAGTTTGCACTAATTCTTCTTGAGCTAGCTTACTTTCATTTTGGGCTTCACTATTTACTGCACTCAGTTTTTATTGACAGTAACTTTTTTAAAATCGCACACGCACGCGCACAGACACAGAAACGTATCTCTAATACTGTAATGCACTTTCATCAAACCATTATTTATCATCGCCACTTCCTTACTTTCACTTCAAGCTGAGTGTTCAACACGTTCTCACTCCCAACTCGTCAAACGTGTGACGCATGGTCAGGCTCCCTCTGCTGCACTTATGGACGCGCAGGGTACCCCCCTCGCGTCGGGAATTGACGTGAAGGGTCCTCCGATAGAAGAGATTGCCGCGGAAGAGCCTGTTGTCCGTATATTTATATATTTCCGAAATCACATTGTAGTGACGTATACAGAACACAATAAATTATATAATGTAAACAACTACCTGAAAAACAGGTAGAACGATACTTTTGTATGGTTTATTGCATTTACGGAGGGAGTGATGTATGCTGGGTAATGGCACAGCTAGCTACTGGGTGACTTTATTCACCCGCTTCGGCTGTTATCAGTCCATACAATGGGCGTTATTAGCACAAATCAGTCCCATGGATATGGGGCATCTCCTGCTAGATTGTTCAGAAGGTTGTTCTCATCCATCAAGATGGAGGATCACTAACAGGAGCGTGGAAGACTCCAGAATCCACTCTGGCTGGAGTGCGGTGGATATGCAGTGTGTACAGGTAAGACCGTTTAAACGGACAGCATTTATAGAATGACTATTAAAAGTCAGCGAGTGTCAGTAATGTTAATGTGGTTATCTTAGTAATACACCGAGTGCTAATATAACAGCTTTAAGATGCATTTGTAGATATTATTACGTGTTTTACCGTCTTTATGGTGCTAGCTTAAAGTTACGGTGTAAACGTTAGCTTATATTGGAGGAAAGCTGTTACTGTTTAAACGATGTTAGCACAGAAATATTAGCTTCTGTCATGACTGATGAAGTTACTAGTTAATAAAGTTTTCAGTAAAGTGTTTAATCGCAGCCACAGATTGACAGCAAATATCTCGATTAGCTTCAGTGCATCTGTAATAAATATGTGCAAGTTTCAGTGCTTCGTTTAAACTGTATGATACTTATACTGACCCAGGGTCAGTGTAAAATACAATCCTAGCTGTGTGAACAAAGCCTGGCTCCTTTAATCCTGCATGACAAACCTCAGGATGCAGGTTATTATTACTCTTTCCTGCTGGCACACCTGTCACACCTGAGAGTCACTAGAAACTTACAGTGACGTGGACATCATGCAAAGACTGCCAGACTCTGTAATACTGCAAATGATCAGTGACTCAGGTTAACACTAAACTTTAAACGGCACCTCTGTGTCTCTGTGTGCTGAACATTTAGGATTGAGTGAGGCTGCATCAGCTGAAGCTGTTATTTGTATATATCAGTATTTTTTTTAAATTCAGGTGTGGGGAAAATACGTAAGACTGCAGTGAAGCGATGCACCAGATTAATCCCTGGCCAAAGGTATCGTACTTAAATCAGACTACTGATCCAGCCACATCAGCCTTTTGTGAGGTCTGTTTAAAGTAGACTTAAAATGAACTGCAGGTTCCTGAGAGGTGGACTGTGAGCACAGAAACACATGTTCATACATACAGCTGCAGCAAACTTACATTAAATAGATTTGTTACTCTGATGTCTGTCTCTGTGTTAGTCCTCTGACAGACTGGTGACCTGTCCAGATGTGTTCTACCTATGACTACTGGGACAGGCTCTAGCTCCTGTAAAAGAAATTTTCTGTTATTCTCATTTAAAGTATTTAAGTGCTTATGCATATGCTTAGTTGTGACACTGTTACTGTTCAGTGAATGTTTCTAAAACTAGATGAACTTACTTCAGCGTCAGCAGTTTGAGAAAACAACTCCCTTTACAGGTGCTGATAAGGCCAAGGGCACAAAACAGCACAACCATTGATGCGTTAGGTTTCATTGCGAGACACGTGAAGTGTGGTAGGATCAGTTTAACTTCCTCCCTCTTCCTTGGAATGCATAAAGGAGGAGGAGCACGACCTCTGTGGCAGCGCTGACATGACTGAACCGTGATGTTTGATGTGTGTTGGTGCAGTAATAAAAAGCTTGATCACAGTCTGTGTTGCAGACTTTATTTAAAAAATTCCATGACACCCCCCACCCTCCCACTGTGAAGTGAACCTGAATTGAATATTCAGAAGACATTTGTTTAAATAGTTCTACAAATCTGAGCTGTTGGTGTGTCCTTGGATTGTGTGGTAATAATATTAGAGCCTGCAATCTTTCTTACTGAATCTCTACTATGAGTCATGTTACCTGAGATTAATTCTATGTTTACCTGTCAGCCTGGACGAATGTGCTGTGTGAAGGAAATGTGATCAGGAGATATTTTATTTTGTATTCTCATAATCAGTTATCATTGATTAATCATTTACCATTGTGGAATCTGATGACAGTATAATCTTTGTTTTATATCTATGGTAATCTATGGTAAAGATTAATGTATACATATTATCATCATTGTAATCAAGTCTCAAATGGTATCCACAGCATTGTATTCACCGTCCATAACTGGAGGGTCCAGCAGGACCTTGTTCTAATTCATTTGCAGGCCTACATCAGAACATGCACATAGAGAGTTAGGTAAACACGCACGTTCACCCTTATTTACACAGGGAGGTCATGTCAGGACATTCTCTAGTTGGACACACAGGCTCACAGAACTGCACAACATGACATGTCACACACTTGTTTTTCTCTAAAGTATGATCTGATGTTTGTATAAGGAGAACTTTGGACTATGGGGAGACTGTTATCATTTCCAGTAAGGTCTAACTGTGTGATGTCATCAGGGGTAATATAAGGATGGGGAACGGTCCACTCTTTGGAGATCTGTGGCTGTACGCTTGTCTTCCCATGCTTCTGTCTTAGAAGTGTGTAATAAAGATCACTATTCTGACATCTACTGAGACCATGCAGTCGTTTGTCTTCTCCTCAAAACTCGAATCATGACAGAAATTAAATTAAATCAGATCTGAACTGCGTACATTTAAGGAACCTGTTCATATTTAATATGAACCAGTGATTTTTTGATTGCTGATTCCAAGAGAGTCTTTGTGGAAATCCTGTTTGGCTTTTTGTTATTTTAATTCTCTTCTCTGTTTTCCAGAACAGTTCTCCACAGTCACTGTCCACATGGGTCAGTGGCGCCAAGAAGCACTGTGCTAATGTGGGACTCTGACCAGCAACATCCAGACCCAGACAGCGTTTTCTGTCTCCCAGCTGGAGGTTTTGTTTGTCTGTAACTGGAGAGTCAGATTTTTGTTGAGCTTCACACTTGCAGAGGTAAGTCAGTTTGCAGAGATCCCTCCCACCCTGGCTTTCTTATCTGAAAGAGTAATATTTCAGTGACTGCTGCTTGTACCACAGGTTAATACACTCTACTGATCCCTGATGGGAGAATCATCAATTTTGGCAACAAAGAAGCCTGGTGGATGTTTGTTTACAGTCTGATGATGGGACATCATGCTCTGCATCGTCAAAGTTTGCCTCCTCATTATTATTCATACCCAGTAATGTGAAGTATGCTTATATCTACTATAACTGAACCAACCTGGTGCTCTTCATTTATGGAGGCTGTTGAGTCTGAATGTTGGATGTTGTGTATCTCGTGTTCTCTGGGCTTTGTTGTCCTCAGTCTTTTTGCAGGATCAGAAAGCAAAACCAGGAGGCGCGTAAATGTTTCTTCTCCATGATGTTTCTTCAAATGTTTCTTCTGGATGATGATAAGACTGTGACACGGGATGCCACCTTTGATCTTGTGATGAAGCAAAGCTCAGGAAGAAGTGGGATTAAATGGTACCCACATGTGTGCTGCTGAGAAGGATGTACAGGGGCACCTGCAGCCAAATCCAAGCCTCAGGTTAGTTGTAGTTGCAGAACGCTATAGGACTGAGACAGCTGAGGCATCAAATGTTTGATTAAACGGATGAAAAAGAGAAGTTTCTTCCCCATAATTATCACTTCTTAAAATCTGTGGTAACTTCAAGTCTGTCAGCGTGCTGAGCATGCTCAGAATGTGACAATATATTTTTGTTCAATATTTAATTTCTTTCAGTTGCAATTGTTAAATGAAAAATAAAAATAAAAAATGTATTCTTATAATTTAACAAATGAATTCATCAAAAAAAAATATATACATATATACATATATCTGTATTAGTTTTAATAAATTAATTTGACACCTGTATTGAAAATACCATATTGTATTCATACAGAATCAGTTTGGTATCATTGTTTGTCTGATTGTTGAAACTAAGAGCTACTTTGATCTGTTTGGTCTAAAGTATCCAAAGTTGAGCTCTGATGTTTCGTCACCCCTGTGTGTGATATGTGATTTCCTACATGCTGGCAGAGCAGAGCGGCAGTTTGTGCTCACAGATGGTGACGGTGTGGAGAGACGGTGGTGTTTCCTCAGAAGAACCAGCAGAGTCACAAAGGACACCAGTCCATCTCACCACCTTGACTTGCTGACTTATGTTCGTCTGCACTGCACAGAGGAAATCAACTGACCGAGGTTTGTCCAGTGACGTGTTATGAAATGTATATTTGTTTTATGCTTACAGATATGTTTTTCTTGACAGAGGCTCTGCAGAGGTTAGACAAAGCAGAGAGAACATGTGCTTTACATTTTACTGTGATTTATTGAGATATTTGTTGCCTGATGTTCAGCAGGAATGGAGAAATAGAATCAAAGGGAGATTTTTTTGCTGTTTTTGTAATGACGTAAGTAAATCTTCAATATTATTTATTTGCTTGGTTATATTAGGAGTGTTTCTGAGTGAGGGGGAGAGGAGTCATCATCCAGGTAAAGTGACGTGGATCAGTGGACACACTTGTCTCCCCTTTAAAGGAGACGATCCAAGTCATCCTTAAATGTTAGTGCTTTCAATACACAAACATTTTAAAGGACAGAAATGAACATCCAACTTTGACTGTAATACAAAATAAATCTTTGCATGTGTGTTTTCAAACTCTCAGATGGGCAGCATATCAGTCTTGGACTGTCTAACCTGCAGCACTGAATGACCACCACACATGAGCATGTTCCTGCAACATTCAGCATCTGATCCTTCATCTGTGTGCTTCTGCTTTTGGTAAGTAGAGTTACCCAACTCCAGTAACTCTAAACAATGCCATCCATTTCTAACGGCCTGGTTACTTCCTGTCAGTTACTTTAGAAACCATGTGGTCACCTGACCTAACACTGTTCTTCTTCTTCCCTTAATGTTCAAGTGTCACATGTCAAACAGCTGGAGAGGAAACTACACCAGTGTACTGGGATGTTTCAGCAACACGTGCCAGATGCTGTTCCTTCATGGTGACATCACCAGAGACAGCCCCGCCCACCTCAGGACCTCGCATTGATCATGATGATTATAATGATGACAGCGAGCGGAACTAAGACTGTAAAATCCACGACCAGAATTTTTCTTTCTAATTATTAATGAATACTGAGAGCTCTTTCTGTGTTTTGTATGTTTTGGGTTGTTTTTTTTTTACCTCATTTGTTACTAACAAAGTTCACAAACTCACACAGTT